TAGCCATGTCAATGAAATTCCAAACTCCTTTAAATCATCATATGCAAACATGTGAGTTTCTCACAAGACATACGCTCATTCACTCATAAGTTTTGGTTAATGTGTTTCACTCAAGTGATCTCATTGTACATGCCGCCATATGCTTGCTTGTCCACCTAACTCGCTTATCAATATTTAAGTAATACCTTGGATCAATAGGACTTTATTACGGTTGTAATGGGGCTAAAGGTGATAGGCTAATGAAAGAAAGGATATGGAAATCAAAAATTTTGAGAAAGTACACTTTAGTAGTTTTCCAACACCTCAATATCACATCACCTCAAATTGAAAGCAAAATAATAAAACTTTGAACACCTGTTACTCCCCAAATTCAACTTCAAAAGGAAATTTATACTATGCAGACACATTTTCAACAAATCAACACTCTCCAATTTTCATATATTTCGTTTTTTTTTTTTTTCAATTGAAAGAAACAAATCTGCAAAAGCTACATCACCCATCAAATTCACATTTCATTGTAATACACATGCTCCATCCATCTTTCTACATAAATGAAACCCCCAAGAGCACAACCCATGTAATACTTTCTCAAAACAATAAGGAATCGATTTCTGTGTATGGGCTCAACTCCAATATTGGAGCAAGGTAAAGAGATGTGGCTAACAAAGAAATGGCTTAGTTAAAGGCTCAATGGGCTACTACGGATAAACATAGCATATAAGGTAGGCATGAAAGGCTCAAACGATCCAAAGATGGCCTATATCACTTCCAAGTTATTACATGAATTGATTAATGAATCGAGTAGTATAAAGCAAGTTCTAGAGATACATGTACAGTGAGATCATACGCACAAGAAGGAATGAGATTGATGCATAATGGTTCAATCATGTATAGGTTCAAAAACTCACAAGGTTTACATAATCTCACATGATTCACATATGAAACGCTAAATCATGCTCAAGTTTCACATTGACAAGACTAGGCACATTTATTTTTCAAGTTGATTTCTGGAAATCACAGTTAACATAAAGACAACGAAAGAACTTAGACTTTCTTGAAAGTAAGAAAGAAATTAAGATCAAATCTCATCATTGAATTGAGAAGTAGCTACAAACAACAATAAAAATGCAAAAACTTTTTTTTTTTTAATTTAATAAATAAACTAACGAAATATATTTCCACCCCCAAACTTAATTATAGCATTGTCCCCAATGATAATGAAAGGAATTTTTGAACAATAAGACATAAAATGGAAGGAAAGAAATATAAAATGAAATAAAGATACATAAAGAAAAGGAAAGAACACACCAATTTGTGTAGGCGAGGAGAGCAAATGTGTGAGTCATTATTCTCTGCTTGTTTCTTCTGCACCGCGGGCTGGCACAAGGTAGCTGTGTTGGTCTGTTTCTTTCTTCAATCTTTCCAAGTGTCCACCTCTTGCTTTCTTTCTCCTTGTCCCTAGCTGAGGATGAATTGGTAAATTGTCTCCACATGCTTCGAGGTATCATTTTCACTTCCCTTATCTGTTCCCCAGGCAGATGTGGTAGACGAAGAGGAAGCATAAGATGATGAAGATGAGTACTCGAGAGCAACGCTAGGTAAGCAATCAGGAAGGGGTTCTAGGCAGTTGGCTCCAGATCAGAAGATTGATACCAAGTGCTGGCTGATTGCTCTCTTTCTCCTTGTCGTAAAACAAAGACAAGGAGAAGGACATGGAGAAAGCATGATATGAGATACTCTTGCTTTCAACCTTCATGATATGAAATACTTTTGCTTTGGATGAGTTGTTTGCAGAGGTACCCCAAGGAATTAGGAACACTGAGTGACTCGAGAGGGTGTGTTGGAAAGGCATTCTCTGAGAAGAATGAGGTTATGTATGTCTGCCTTGCCATGAAGTGTGAAGGTCGACATTTATAGGAAATAATAACCGGTACTGCTCTTTCACTCTTGTCGGCAACCGTTGGATGATTGAACAGTAAACTTCACGTGTTTTCTACTTTACCAGAAATCGTCGACAGATTGCCCGTGATTTCCGTAAGCTGAGTGTGCATGTGACAGATGCTGACATGTCTGGAAAAGCAGATGCCTATCCGATTTCTGAGCTTGCCTCTTCGAAATCTGAGCTCCGTCGAGTGCAGAGGTTACATGTGACGAGTGCGGACAAATCTGGAACAAAGGATGGCCCGTGGTTTCTGAGCAAGCTCAGCTTTTGAGAAAGCTAGCGCATCTTTGATTTTTTTAGTTGGCCTCTTCGATTTCTGAGCTCGCCTCTTCGATCTCTGAAATCCCATCGCGTGCTGATTTTTATAGAGGTATGCAGGACGTTCAAAACACACTTGAATTTCTGCATGTAAAAACTCCCTCTTTGCATTTCTACGATCTTGACTTGTCCGACCTCTGCTTTCTTTAACACTTCTGAAAAATGTCTGGCCCTTCCGACCGTCGTTTTGACTTGAACCTTGGTGAAGAGGCAGTCCCGCCTTCTCCAGACAACATATGGCGCCCATCCTTCATATCCCCTACTGGCCCCCTTACCGTTCGGGATTCGGTGATGAAGAATGATATGACAGCTGCGGTGGTGGCCCAGAACCTTGTCACTCCTAAAGATAACAGACTGCTTTCAAAACGGTCTGATGAATTGGCTGTTAAGGAGTCTCTGGCTCTTAGTGTACAGTGTGCAGGTTCCGTGTCCAATATGGCCCAACGCCTATTTGCTCGAACCCGTCAAGTTGAATCGTTGGCGGCTGAAGTGATGAGTCTCAAATAGGAGATTAGAGGGCTCAAGCATGAGAATAAACAGTTGCACAAGCTCGCACACAACTATGCCACAAACATGAAGAGGAAAATTGACCAGATGCAGGAATCTGATGGTCAGATTTTACTTGATCATCAAAGGTTTGTGGGTTTATTCCAACAGCATTTGCCTTCGTCTTCTGGGGCTGTACCGTGTAGTGAAGCTCCAAATGATCAACCTCTGATGCCTCCTCCTTCTAGGGCTCCGCCGACTGCTGAAGCTCTACCGACTACTGAGACTTCTCCTAAGCAGCCTTTGTGAAAGCTCCCTCTTGTATTTATCTACTTAATGTTCCTTTCGTTTTTATGAATGTAAAAATACATTGCAAGAAGTTGTGGTAGAGATTGCAAAATCATTACCTGCATAAAGGAACAAAAGTAGGACTTAAACACATAAACCAGAAAACAAGAGAAAAACAGAACAAGAACATTTAAAATTATTTAAAATAAAGATGAAAGATAGCAAGCTTGGGTTGCCTCCCAAGAAGCGCTTTAGTTACTGTCTAGAGCTAGACATTCTGTTGGCAGTTTGATTCAAATAACAGGTTCCTTCAAAGTGATGGAATCCTTAGCAAGATCATATGGAGACTCCTTGTATAACTTCAAGCGATGTCCATTAACTTTGAAGACAAAACCAGTTTGCATGTTTTGGATATCCACAGCCCCATGAAGATGGACCTGTACAACACGATATGGACCATTCCAACGTGATTTGAGCTTTCCTGGGAATAGTTTCAATCTTGAATTAAAAAGCAAAACCTTATGACCCGGTTGAAACTCTTTACGAAGGATGTGAGCATCATGAAATTTCTTGGTCTTATCCTTGTAAATCTTTGCATTCTCATAAGCATCATTCCTTATTTCTTCCAGTTCATTCAACTGCAGCTTCCGCTTCTCTCCCGCTGCTTGGTAGTCAAAATTGAGGTGCTTAATAGCCCAATATGCCTTGTGCTCAAGTTCCATAGGCAGATGGCAAGCTTTCCTATACACCAAACGAAAAGGAGACATCCTAATTGGTGTCTTATAAGTTGTCCTATATGCCCACAAAGCATCAGTAAGCTTTAAACTCCAATCCTTTCGAGATGAACTGACAGTTTTCTCAAGAATCCTCTTGAGCTCACGATTAGATACTTCAACTTGTCCAGATGTCTGTGGATGGTATGGGGTGGCTATGCGATGATGAATATGATACTTGGCACAAAGGGAAGCCATGGTGCTGTTTAAGAAATGCGTACCTTCGTCACTGATGATAGCACGAGGTACTCCAAATTGGGGAAAAATAGTATTCTGCAAGAAACCTAACACCACAGAACTTTTGCATGTTGGAGAAGTTATTGCCTCCACCCACTTAGAGACATAATCAACCGCCACCAAGATGTAGAGATTGCCATGTGAAGAAGGGAAAGGTCCCATGAAGTCTATACCCCAAACATCAAATAGTTCAATCACCAAAATACTTTGTTGGGGCATCTCATTTCTCTGAGAAAGATTTCCAACTCTTTGACACTTATCACAAGCCTGGCAGCATAGGTATGCATCTTTGAATAAAGATGGCTAAAAGAAACCACTCTGTAAGATCTTGGCCGCTGTCCTTCTTGGTCCAAAATGACCACCACATGCATAGTGGTGAGCAAACTTCAAAATGTTTTCTTGTTCTTCTAAGGGGACACACCGACGAATGATTTGATCTTGGCAATGCTTGAAAAGGTATGGCTCATCCCAAAAGTAGTGTTTTACAGTGGAGAGGAACTTCTTCCTTTGTTGGTAATTGAACTCTGATGGTATTTCTCCAGATGCCAAATAATTTGCGATGTCAGCATACCATGGTACTTGATGAGTAACCGCTAAAAGTTGCTCGTTTGGAAAGCTCTCTTGCAAGGGCAATGAATCTGCCTCATCAGTGCTTGCATTTACTAATCTTGAGAGATGATCCGCCACAACATTCTCACGTCCCTTTTTATCTAGGATCTCCAAATCAAACTCTTGCAAGAGAATGACCCATCGAATCAATCGTGGTTTGGCCTCTTTTTTAGACAATAAGTACTTGAGAGCAGAATGATCAGAATACACAATGACTTTAGCACCAATTAAGTACGATCGAAACTTTTCAAGAGCAAATACCACTGCAAGTAATTCTTTTTCCGTAGTGGCATAATTCAGCTGAGCATCATTCAAAGTGCGGCTGGCATAATATATAACATGGGGGAGCATGTCACATCGCTAACCAAGGACAACACCCACAACGTAATCGGAAGCATCGCACATGAGCTCAAAAGGAAGGGTCCAATCTGGAGCTGTTATAATTGGGGCTGATGTGAGAAGATCCTTCAATTTGTTGAAAGCATCATGACAATCTGCATTAAAATCAAAACAAGCATCTTTAGCAAGTAAATTACAAAGAGGACGACTAATTTTGGAAAAATCCTTGATGAATCTTCGATAAAAACCAGCATGTCCCAAGAAAGATCTCACATTCTTCATAGAAGTTGGTGGTGGTAATTTGACGATCACCTCAATCTTTGCCTTGTCGACCTCTATTCCTTTGCTTGAAATTAGATGTCCTAGCACAATGCCATATTTAACCATAAAATGGCATTTCTCCCAATTTAACACAAGATTAGTCTCCCTGCATCTTTCCAAAACCAAAGACAAGTTATCCAAACATATATCGAAAGAATTACCAAAAACAGAAAAGTCATCCATAAAAACCTCAACAATATTTTCAACCATTCCAGAAAAAATACTCATCATGCATCGTTGGAAAGTGGCAGGGGCATTGCACAATCCAAATGGCATTCGTCTGTATGCAAATGTACCAAAAGGGCATGTAAACGTTGTCTTCTCTTGATCCTCAAGGGCAATTGGAATTTGGTTGTACCCTGAATAACCATCTAAGAAACAATAGAAAGAATGACCAGCTAGTCTCTCGAGCATCTGATCAATGAATGGCAGCGGAAAATGATCATTTCTAGTGCTGTTATTGGGCTTTCTATAGTCAACACACATTCGCCATCCGGTGGTCATCCTTGTAGGCACAAGCTCATTGTTATCATTCTTCACCACAGTAATACCAGTTTTCTTTGGAACCACCTGAGTCGGGCTCACCCATTTGCTATCCGAGATTGGGTAAATGATACCTGCATCGAGTAACTTCATCACCTCAACTCGTACAACTTCCTTCATGATCGGATTTAGACGTCTTTGAGCTTCAACAGTTGGTTTAGTCCCAGCCTCCATAAAAATCCTATGCATGCACAAAGCTGGACTAATGCATTTTATGTCAGCAAGTGTCCACCCCAGAGCATCTTGATACTTGCGAAGAACTCTTAGTAATTTGTCTTCCTCCGTGTCATTAAGATCAGCAGCAATAATAACAAGCAAGGTCTCATTCACCCCGAGATGAGCATACTTGAGGTGGCTCGGCAGTAGCTTGAGCTCTAACTTCGGAGCTTGTTCACTTGAAGGAAGAAGGGGCTGCTTAGGCACTCCAAGGCTTTCATAAACATGTCGCCACTTTGGATTATGAATTGGTGCACTATCCAGTGCAGCAATGACGTCCACCACATTTTCTTCCATAGATAAAGTACCATCATGGTTGGTGAGGCAAGTTAACAGCTCATCATTAGATGATCGTGAGGCAAAGTTTGCATGCACAATCCCATCCAAAACATCAACACGAAAACACTCTTCAAGTTCGAAAGGACGCTTAATAGCTTTAAAGAGTTTGAATACAACTGATTGTCCTTGCACTCTTAGGGTTAAAGTACCTGCTTCCACATCAATAAGTGTCTGGGCGGTGGCCATGAACGGTCGGCCTAAAATGAGAGGCATTTCCTTGTCTTCCTCCATGTCAAGTACAATGAAATCAGCTAGGAGATAGAATTTATCCACTTTAATAATCACATCTTCCAGAATACCCAAAGGATATGTCATGGACCTGTCTGCCAATTGAAGACTCACAGATGTGGGCTTGAGTTCTCCTTCACCTAATTTTTGAAAAACAAAATAAGGCATAAGGTTAACACTTGCTCCTAAATCAATCAATACTTTATGAAAATCAAGACTACCAATAATACAAGAGATAGTGAAACTCCCCGGATCTTTCTTCTTGGGTGGTAGCTTATGTAAGAGGACAACACTGCATTGCTCAGTTAAAATCACCTTCTCATATTCCAAGAACTTTTTCTTTTTAGAACATAGCTCCTTCAGAAATTTGGCATATGATGGGATCTGTTTAATAGCATCTAATAGAGGCAAATTAATTTGAACCTTAGCCAACATCTTCATGAATTCAATGCATTGTTGATCCTTGGAACGTTGTTGCTGCCTTTGTGGAAATGGCAAAGGTGGCTTATATGGTGGCTTGTCAGAAGGTGCAAATAAACTACCAAGGCCTTTTTCCTTGTTTGAATCAGAGTTGGGTCGAGATTGCACTTTGTCACTTGTACTAGGATCTGGAATACCTACTTCAGAAATAGCCTCTGACCGAGACTTTGCAGCTAATGGCGCTTTCAGTAAGCTCTTCTTCTTCCACTTCGGCTTCATGGTGCACCACTTCTCTGTTGTCATAGCTCTTGCCACTTTTCAATGTCCGTATTACTTTGCAATGCTCCATCCCTCTTGGATTTTGCTCAGATTGGCTCGGGAACTTTCCTTTCTCTCTTTCATTAAACATGGTAGCAAGCTGTCCAACTTGAGTCTCCAAATTTCCCACTGATGCCGTGAGATTCTGAATGCTAGTTTGTGTGGATTGGACAAAACTGTTGGTGCTATTAGAGAGAGCAGACATATGTTGAGCTAGCTGTGACATTTGGTCTTCAAGAGATGGTTTTTTAGTCTCACTAGTTGATTGGTAAGACTGTTGGTATTGACGTGGCTGTTGGTTGCCACCCCAACTGAGATTGGGGTGGTTCTTCCACCCAGGATTATATGTATTGGAATAAGGGTCACTTCTGGGTCTAATGAAATTATTCACCATATTCACATGATCTTGCACAAGCTCAGGGTAGTTATCCTTGTTGGGGCATTGAGTGATGTCATGAGTTGTCTCACTACAAATGATGCACGCTTCTTGGGCATTGGGCATGGAAGAGACCTGCATTAAGGCAGCAAACTTGGCATTAAAATTCTTTTCCATTTTAGCAATTTGAGCAGAAACATTAGGAGAACTCTGAGAAATCTCAAAAACTCCCCTCTTTTGTGTTTGTTCTTCTGTCCATTATTGGGATTCAGAAGCCATCATATCAAACAACTCAAATGCTTCCCTTGCAGATTTCGACATTAATGACCTCCAGCAGATGCATTCACTTGACTCTTAGTGGTGGCATTGAGACCATCATAAAATATGTTCATTTGAAGGTTAGAATCAAACCCAGCATGAGGACATTTTGTGTACATCTCATTATACCGTTCCTAAGCTTCATGGAAAGACTCGTTTGGCTTTTGAGCGAAAGCCAATATCTCTTTCTTGAGTGCAAGCGTCTTGGAAGAAGGAAAAAACTTATTGAGAAATTTTTCTTGCAATTATGTCTATGTTGTAATGCTATTGGCAGGCAGAGAATGCAGCCACGCCTTGGCTTTGTCCTTCAAAGAGAACGGGAACAAACGTAACTTGATAGCTTCAGAAGAGAAACCTCTGATTATGGTGTTGCCACATGCCTCAATAAAATCAGCCAAATGCATGTTGGGATCACTGTTTGGCAACCCATGAAAGGATGGCAATATGTTGAGGATGTGAGGTTTGATTTCAAAGGTTGTCCCATCTTCCACATCTGGATATATAATGCACCTTGGCACTGCATTGATTCTTGTTGCCAATGAATTCCTTAAAGGTTGACCTGCTGCAGGTAAGGCTAGGGCCATGTGTGCAACTGGTGCCAAAGGTTGGAAAATAGATATGCTGCTCTCAGGATCACGGAACAAATCCTTAAGAAAAGTATCACCAAGGTTGGAATCTTGTGCTAAATATTTTTCTCTAGCTAACTTCCTTGCACTTCTCTCTGGTTCAGGGTCGTAAGGAATAAGCACTTGATTCTTGGACCTTGTTCCAATCACCATATACTACACCTGAACAAACAACAGAAATATTAAGCCACAATAAAAATAAAAGTAAAATAAAATAAAACTTAACAGAAATTAACTAAACAACAAAAAGAAAAAGAAAGTAAGTAAACCTAGATGAATTAAAAACACAATTTATGCAAATTGGCAACCACTAGTTAATTAAACGAAGACAAAAATCTCACACCACACATCCACTACACTTAATCAAAGATCAAAACTCAACTAAATTAATTGCTGTTTTTTTTTAATTTTCAATAATAATTTTTTTTTAATTTTAATAATACGTGATTTAGAACAGAAATTTGTGAAAGGGATACATAAACAGATTTCTAACGCAAATATACAGCATTATTACGGTACCAAAGTTAAATTCACCATCAATGGGCTTAATCAAAGAGGATTCTTGAGAACTTTTTTTTTTAATTTAATGATTAATAAAAATAAGACATAAACATAAGCATAAGAAAAATAAACACAAAAACTTGGGAACTGTTGGCACAGTCCCCAGCAACGGCGCCAATTTCTTGATAGCGATTTTACCACTTGTAAAACAAAGGGTTAAACCATAGAAAATTCTTGCAAGAGAACAAGTGTTTGTAGTATAGAATGGCTCAAGCAAGGTCGATCTCCTCAGGGACTGATATAAACAATTTACGAGTTTTTGTGTATTTAACTTATTTAACTCTAAGAATTACACTAATTTGACGAAACTAAATATTATTGGATGTGACTTAAACAAATATCTAAAATGGGAATTGGTTTATAGGAACAGTGATTCAACTTAAACAAAACAAGTAAATGAGGAAATTTAAGATAAAATAACTGATTGAAGAAAAATAGATTGTCAATATGCTAGAATTCAACTTTTACCAACAACACTCCTACGTAGCTATTCCAATTGCTTAAATAATTGAAAACACATATGCTTTGAAGGTTGGATTTTCCTTGTGTATGTTTTACTTGTGACATTCAAGCTAAAACGCATACCACTACATGCAACTTATCCATGACATTTGGATTAAATATAAACATGAGTGATTCATTAATCTTGGTGAAAATCATTTTGTTAAACCATATAATCCCTAAGAGCATGATATTTACCTTAGGAGAGTACAATCCTCAATCACAAGAAGCACAACCAATTTTAACGTGACATTCGTTCAAAATTGCATCCGATAACTTTTCTAAGCATCCTAATGGTGATCAATCATCAAGACACATAGATAGTTTAATTTAGAGATTGAAAATATCAAAGCAAGCATGTAACAACACTTAAGCAATTGAAAAATAGATCTACGTATTCATGTTGCGGCTCATGGCCTCACTCTAGCAAAAGGAAATTAGTTACACATAATTATTTGAATATATAAGAAATTATCCATGAAGAATCAAAGAAAGAAAACACCGTGTTTGGTTCCTCCTCTTTTCCTCTGCCGCTGACTTCTTTTCCTCTGCCGCGCCCTGTATTTTCTGTTTTTCTTTTTCTCTTCTTGCCTGTCCGTGTCTCTCTGCCTTTGTTTCTTTTATTTTCTTTCTCAATCCGCCCTCTCTCTCTGCGCAATAGCTTCTTTATGCCGTGTCTCCCATCAACCCACTTTTCAGCCTTTGTTTATTCATGCCGTGCTCTCCCACTCCTCATTCTTTTATTCTGTCAGTGTCTCCCCCACTCCCTGCTTATTATTCTTGCTTTCCCTTTCTTATTCCTTCCACTCTTCTTTGTCTGTGTCCCCCATTTCCACTAATCAGCTATAATCTTTTCTTTTTCCCCACCACAAAAGCTTAATGGAAGACAAGTCCACTCTCCACTTGCCGTGTCTTTTATTTGTTTTTACAATTTTCTTTTCTCTATTTTGCTTGAAATTGATCCTAAACAAATTTAACTGCATATTAACACAAGGTAAAATAAAATACCACAATTTTAACACAAAAACATCACAAAGACTTTAGAAATGGATGGTATAAATGCATGAAATATATGAGTGATCAATTCTACAAACACACGTCTCTCTTCCCTCTCTCCTATGCCACCGGCCCCTCTCCCTTTGTCAGATAAAAATAGACCACAACAGTTTTTAATGGTTAATCCACATGATATATATAATTACGTTAATGAGATTCACATAATGCCACGTCAACATACTAATAAAATAATTGATGAAATACAAACGAAATGACCAAATTGATGTGCAATCGTAAAATTAAGGACAATATTGATCACTTTTGAAAGTAAATAAATAGAAAAAACTGGAGTGGGTAATAGCGATTTTCGGAGGGCTGATTTATGAATTTACTGTATATTCCGGGGTGGCAGATATCGGACATTCCTATTTCTCACCTCTTCACTCCTCTCACTCGTCCCTGGTGCCCTTGGTCTCGCTACCCTACGAATCAGGTCAATATCCCTCCCTCTCTAAACCTTGATTTTGCTTGTAATTGATTTGGGGTTTATTTTAGGGTAGGAAATTTGGGATTTATAGTTAGGGTTAGGCAATTTGGGGATTGATTTTCGTAGTTTCAATTGTGTGTGAAGTTGTTTTGGGCTGTAGTGAAAGCTGACTGATATTCTTGTAGTTATGCGCACACTCTGTGTATTTGTTAATGCGATAACAATGTGTAATGCTGACAGACTGGGAAGCAAGGATGGTGATTATGTCTCTTCGTTCTGTGCTCCGAAAGCTGGGTACTAATCGATCCACTTACAGTAACATTAGAAGCGCCGTGCTTGGGGCTTCTCAGAGCGCGGCTGTCAACAACAATTTCAGAAATCCCGAGGCCAAGCCCGTGTCTTCAGTAGAGTCTAGTGCTGGTTATTGTTGTCACCATGTTTCTGATGATGGATACCTCGCAATGCAATCGAGGACGACGGCCCCTCGCTTTCCCTGTTCTGGGCAGGTATATGAAACTCTCAATTCTCAACTAGGCTGCTTAGTCATTACTTAAGCATCACTTGCATACAGATTAAGATCACCATTTGTTTCTTGTAACCCTTTATGTTGAATTTGGGATACGTTTGTAAGAAACACACTACAAAACAGTAGGTAGCTGGATTTTCCTGCTTATGTGTCTGTAGCAAAAGATGGAGTGCACTTAGAGGATTTTGTAAATGACTACTTGAAACGAGTCATTTGACAATCCTTTATTTAGTGGTTTTGTAATGCTTGTACAATGCATTCTTAATCACTCCGCGTAATGGTTCTGAGTGCATTTCTAACTAATTTAGCTTAAATCCCCTGATACTTGGAAATCCCCCATCCAAACTAATCTTTTTTTCAAGAGAATTTGACTCAGTGTCAGGGTCTGGATACTTATTTTACATTTTTTGTTAATTGTGTCCCCTCTCCACTATGATTCACAAAATTCTTGAAGGGTAATCGTTTTTCAATTCACTCTTTTGTTACCTCCACCTTTGGTAACTTTGCCATCACTTTGGGTGCTTAAACTCGCATAGGTATACCTACAAAACTCTAGCAGCGAACGAGGGTCTGGAACCTAGGCCTCCCTGCTGCTGTAGTTTTCAAATAATATTTCTTACCAATTTGCACTTCTCCCCCCTTGTTTTGAACAGGAATTTGATTATTATATCAATTTAAAAGGACGGGGATTAGAGGCTGCCCGTTTTGCCACACAAGAGTTCAACAAGCAAAAGGTTTGTATTGATTTTAATTTTCTGAATTGGCAAAAGCTGCTCTTCTGGGTGTGTAGTTCTTCCATTAGCCCCTATTTATTTATTTTTAGCAGTAACTTGTGAAGACAATGTTTTTTCTTCTCTTTGATTTCACATGTTTTATCTCTTCATACTGCCATGATGTTTTATTCACGAAGAAATAGTTTCTTTTTATCAACAACTGTTGTGAATATTTAGATGCTCGTGTCTAATATTTTGCCTCGTCTTTCAGAATGCCCAACTGCAGTTTGTTAGAATGCTGTGTGCTAACAGGCGGAGGCTTAACAATGGTCCTCATTACATGTATTTTATATTGCTTGAGGCAATGGATGGTGGTGAGCTGAAAGTCTACCAGGCACATGTTTCGCCAGATTTCACCGGCGGCATGTCTTTGCAATTCCTTGGTCGTGTCGTGGAGAAGGGGTCTCCTGTAAAATTATTTGATCCCCTGGGTAAGTGTGGCAAGCTACTTCCATTAATTTTGTCTTGGATTTATTTCTTAGCGCGGAAGAATGTAAGCGTACATTGATCAATCTATGGGTTTCTTGAAACAGATAACTTTTGGGACTGAAGGTGGTTCGCTGTGGCTGCTGAAAGAAGCATCAATTAGAAATCGGTTTTTATTTAATTAAACTAGATTAGTGAAGGTGGATGACTCTTACCTGCTATGGAACGTCGTAACTCTAACCCTAGCTTGCAGACTTTCCTATTATTTCAACTTTGTTGTGGGATTAGAAGTATGAAACTTTGGCTGGCATGCCATTCTCATCACTTTGAACTTAATGCAGCAAATTTTATTGCTATCTGCTATCTTCACCGGGTCTCTCCCACAGAAGGCCCCCAGCCGGCCGGGATTGCGAGTGTAATAGACGTCACATGTTATAACATGAATGGAGTAATGACACTATATGGTAGTGAGAGCGTTTTTAGTTAAATATCAAATATAATCAAACCTCTATAAATTAATAGTTTTGGGATCAAAGGAAATTTATTAAGGCTTATTTTATCAACACCTCACATATTGTTGAATGCACCCCACAATCTTAATACACCCCACATTTGCTTTTTTAATTAAAATTTATCTTAATATACCCTACTTACTTTTCTATAATACCATCACGCTCCACATCTCAACATACACCTCACATTTTCTACACATACCCCACAGTCTTCATATCTTAAAAAAGCAAAAAAAAATTTAGCCTTCCCCTTTCTCCAGCAAGAACCAGCCACAATTATTCTTCTTCTACCACGCCACGCCAAATGTTGATTAAAGAGTAACATTGCTTTGATAAAAACTTGAGGTCACAACATTTAAAGGAAAGGCCAGTGCTTCAGTTCCTCCATTTCTTTTTGTTCGGACTTCAACCCAAGATAAGTAGGACAATGTTGCGAAACCTAAAAGATGTGTACGCAAAAGAAAGGGACAACCTTTCCGAGCTCTCCTCGAAAATTTGTGGAAACCATATATCCTTAAAACAAGACTTGCAAATGAGGGCCTTTGTATTGCTTCTCTGAGCCAAACTGCCAACTAATAAGACTAATTAAGGGGTTACTTGATTTGGTATGGAAGATTGATTTGATTGAAGGAATCAGGTTCAGAAAGATGGAAACTACCCAAGTAGGAATATGAAAATGGGGACAAAAGTTGGGATTAATTGATTGAATATCAATTATCAATGTGAAGTGTATTTGGTTTTGGATTAAGATTCTCTTATGAATAATTTTTTTAGTCAACGTCTTTGTAGTTTTATTGATTAGAATTGTTCTATGTCCAATGGAGAGGGAATGGTTTGGAGAGTTGAAGAAAATAAATAATATTGGGATGTGTTATTTGGGGTGTATTTAGAATTATTTTAATTTTTTTAATAATCTTATGAGGTCGAAATAGTCATTGCATATTAAGACATACAAGTCATTTAACATTAAATTTTAATGTATTCAGCATTATGTGGGGTGCTAATAAAAAGAGCCTTTATAAATTTGAGAATATTAAATTATCGATAAATTATTAAGTTTTAATTAAGAAATTAATAATTTAATTAAGGTTTTCGATATTTTCTTTGTAGGCATTGTATTCAGTTTCTTGTTTTACAAATTAATAATTTTATGTATTTGTTTAACAAAGTGAAATTTATGAATTTATTTATTCTTTTTCCAAATAGCTTGCACATTGTTCGATATTCAATATTATTCTTTTTTATGAACATTTAACTAAGCAAAAAACTCAACTTTTTAGCAAAAGCACTATATGTTAGAAGTTATTAATTTATACATTGTGTGGGATCTATATAAAAATTTTGTAATACTATTTTATAAATTTTGCGAACTATTAATTTAGCACACTAATTGCATGTTGGGACCGGCCAAAAGTATTATTTAACCCAAGTTGTTAATTTGTTGGGTATTAAATTATCGAAGTTCCATTATATAGGAAAAGATTAGTTAATGTATGATATATTTAGTTTGAGTACCGACTGAAAAAATGAATCAAGATAATTCTATTAATGCTATTGTAATTTTATATAATTACATAATTGCCACTTAGTTCTATCACGTTTTTTATACCAGCCAACTTTTCCCATTGGCCGACCGATCAAATTTTCTTTCAAAAGCGCATTCTCACCATGGTAGCTTGATACTAAGGTCACATTTTAACCATGGTTTATGACTAGGAAGTAGAAAATTGTGAAAAATAAAATTTCACTAGAAAATATGAAATATTTTTCTGTGGATGTGACTGTGATAAATGACAAAAAATATAAGAAAATTTAGATGAACAATCTTCACCCACATATAATTCTTTAACAGAAACAATGCATGAAGCGCGCAAAAAAAAAAAAAAAGAAATTATCCACTTATTTATTTCGTTGAACATTTGATGGCTTTGTTGTCGTTAGAAGAATCATGTTGAGTACATGTCAACTGATATCGACATAACCTACAGAGTGTTGTAGAAAGGCATTATATCAAACATTTGATAAGAACAAAAGAGACTACAAAACATTCAGTTGATATTCGAAAGACATTCACATTGTATTTTCAAACTTTAAGTAATCATGGGACCACCTTAATTCCAATATGCATCCGCATCTATGTAATGATAAACTCACTCAAATAGAAATTTCCCATTTAGTGGAGAAAAATGGTGAATGGGTAATATTGTCAAAGAAGAAAGAAATCCTAATAAAACACTTATAGTACTGTTTACTTTTAATGTTAAAAAATATTTTTACCTTGAAAAATTATTTATTTGTACACCTTTATTTTGCCATTTTAATTTAAACTAAATTTTTTAAGAATTTTCCCAAGTTTTTCTAAGGAAAAAAAAGTTAAAAGCGTCAGACACTAATCGCTTCCTCTTCCCCGACCGAAAAAATCGTTTCCTCATCCCTCTGGCTCTCATCGGTTTGCCCTAGACAACAAAGCCAAGTCAGTTTCTCTCTCTCTCTCTCTCCCCCTCCCTCTTTCTCTGTCCAGGTGAAAGATTTGTTTGGTTTGGTTGTTGTTTACTTGGGAGTTCAAATACGATTCAGTAATTTGGGTTTTTTAGGGTTTTCGCAAGTTGCTTGCTTTTTTATTATTAGGATTTCGTTGTTTCAAATTTACAGGAACAATGGATTTCTTTCATTTATTTATTTAATAGTTTATTAATTTGGGTATGATGTATATTTTCTGGAACTTATTTTGTTTAATTTCTGCGGAGTTTTGGTGTGAATTTAATTTTATAACGTTCAATTTGTTGCTTCGTATCTGTTTCTGCTGTTGCTGTGAAGGAAGGAAGGAAGGAAGGAAGGAAGGATGGCAATTGTGGCTCTTCGCTCCGTGGTCGGGAAGTTGGGGAATAAATCTGTTTACAACAATATTAACAGAAGAAGAGTCATGCTTGGGGCTTTCCGGAGCTTGGATATCACCAACAACGGAAGTCAGGAGGTCCAGCCGGCGTTACAAGGGCATCGAAGTCCCGCTTTTTTTTCTCCTCGTGCTTTTCCTAATGGGGGCCTTGCAAACAAAGCTGAGGAGAGGAAGGATACCATTCCCTACTATGGAGTTGGACGGGTACCCAATAAAATTTGCAATTCTTAACTTGACTCATCAATTATTACTTTCGCATCACTTGTATGGAAGATTATGACAACCATCCACTACTCGTAGCTTTTTTTCTTGTTTCATGTAGCCCTTTACGTCACCATTTGTCTCTAGGATTGCATAGATTGGATAATTCTCTAGATTAGCTATCTTTGAGTAAGAAATGAATGACAAATCCGAGTTCAAGGAATCCCACAAAATGGTAGGATAACTAGGGATTCTGATTAATTCATCCTCTACCTTCAACATAGAAAAAAAATGTCAAATTGGTCTCTCGTTCTTCATTCAGCATACCTTCAGTTTAGTGAGATGTCCAATCCAATCCAATCTTAGGCATCACACATGATCTTATAGCCTTTCTTCAAGAGGTGTCTGCATATTTACTTTGTCGTACCCACAAGGCCAAGAAAGGTAGTTGCTTTGTGGTTCATACTTTTCTTTTTTGCTACTTTTCACATTTGATAACTTTGCTGATACAACTCTAGCACTGGAGTAGCGTCTGGATACCAGGCTTGCCTGCTGTAGTTTGTTGATGATGTTTTATGAATTTGCTCTTCTCTCTCTCTCTCTCTCTCTCACTCACTCACTCGGACCTTTCTTTGAGCAGAGGTATGAAGCTGCAGCAGGAATGCTTCAACCTATTCCTGTGGATGATCCCAATGTTGTAACTCTTGCCCAGTTCGCAGTGACAAGCTTCAACCAGCAAAAGGTTAAAACTGATGACTTAATTTCTAAAGCCGCTGTTCTACTTCTTGCATTAGCTGTATGTCTATGTTCGTGTAATTTATCATAGCGAAAGGTTCTTCGTGGTTTTCATACTGTCTAACTATATGCATGCCTAATTTTCTTGACTGATGCTGTTGGCTCACTTGGCATTAATGATTTGTTGCTAGAACGGTGTAGTTGTGCTGCAAAATGACGGCCCAAGTTTCTTTTGAATGGATTTCCATACTGTTTCAGTTGTGCTTAAACCTAGTATTCGTTTTCTGGGAGGCCAAAAACTAATGTTTTGGGTTCTTTTTTAGAATGCCCAACTGCAGTTTCTGAGAGTGGTGATGGCAAGCGATCAGGGGGCACTTCCTTGTTGCCTTTACTATCTGACACTGGAGGCTGTTGACGCTGGTGCCGTGAAAGTTTATCGAGCACAAGTTTCTGTAAATTTGCTTGATGACAGCCGGGAGACAACAGTTTTTGGTCTCGTTAGTGATAATGGTGGTTTGCTAAAGCTAATTGATAACAGAGACAGATGCGAGTCAAGATTAACAAATAACAGAGGTAAGCATATATGCCATGTTACTTTAATTATTATTGTTACAAACTTAGTTCAGTACGTTCTCATTGGCAGTTTAAGTAACTATTGTTGTAGAACTGACGTCTATCTTGCTGTCTGGTAACTGTACCAAGTGTCTTAAGCCAGTATTACTGGGATTAGAACAGTTCTAAGATCCTAGCGTTGATTACGTAAATTACTAGTCATGGAAGAGACTTGAAAGCTCACTTGGCCGTCAGATAAATACTTAAAAGATAAACTAGGAACCAACCAATCATTTATCCGAAAAAGACAGTAAAATACAAGTAAAAAACTACTACCGGAAGCTTAGTATAACTCAAGGGAAGTTGGTCATTGTCTCATTTAGTCTTACAATACCTCATAAATGCTCTTTCATTAGATAAGTTGGAATGTTATGCGCAATTACGAATCTTGGTCTCACTGGAGCACCGTCAGAAAGTTGATGTTTTGTCAGTGTATTTGAATGGAGTCAACTGCTTTACGAAATAAAGTGCAAGTATATACTGACACTTTACGGATGTTTATTATTTTTTAGTACATATCGATTGGGCAGTGAAAATTGTGCTTTATAGTGTCTTCTTTGTAGTTGTTTATTATTTGCGAGTGTATACGGATTCTGATTGGTTAATGTTGCCATTCTTTCCATCACAGATTATGTCCGTCGGTACATTTGGGACAAGTTGATAAAAGGTGATCATGAAAGGATTCCAGTAGATGTAGAGGGACCTCCCTTGGAGGAAGTAACGCTGAGCAACTTGCACAAGTGGACTCTCCATTAAGTTGTTTGAAGAGGGAGATTTCTTCTATAATTTATGCGATTAGAAAGCACTCGAAAATTTACTAGGTGTAAAAAGATGAGTATTACTTATGGCGAGAGCAAACTAACAATGTGATGTTGTAGTTGATCAACTCGTGCTTGAAACAGGAATGGTAAGTTGTACCGTCTTAACCTTTCATTGCGGTGGTTCTCGCAATCTGATTATTGGCTGGCTCTTTTTGTATCTAGGTCCTGGTTTTTTGGCTGATCGAAAAGTTATCTGCTTTCTTGTTTCCACTTAAGTCATTTTACCTAATTTCTTGTTTCCACTTTCATTTTACCTACAACTAACAATGGTGTCCGCGCGGTCTTGCAGGTTTTAAAATCATATAAAACATGTCCAAAGTTCAAGTATATATATGACATGCAATATTTTCAAACATTTGATTCATGTCTTCTTACCCGTTAACATAACACGAACTTGAAAAATGAAAAGCAAATGTGAATGTGCATTATAGGATAGAGTTATTCATTCATTTTTATATTTCACACATTGTCGTTAGTTTTTTACCACTTATTTCTTCAATTCATCTGCAACCGAAAATTGAGAAGGGGTGTGAGAAGTAAAAATTGGTGTGTTGAAAGCACTCTCACATTATAGTGTTTGATCCAAAAACAACGTTGTATTGTGTTCGATCCAAAAACTTTATGACTCATTAATTTAATACCCTTATAGTTCATGCAATTTTGTATGTCGTCCTTATTCTTGAACATAGACACCAAAGTGCTATTTTGCCATTTACTTGACATCTTCGTTTCCAAAATCTTATTGAAAATGTTTGTTAGTCATGTTATATTTGTTTCTCTCAAGACCTTCCATACTTCGATCGGTATACTGTTTGTACCCACTGCTTTTCTATGCTTTTATCTTTTTCAAGGCTACTACTAGTTCATCTTTCCTGATTTGACGGTAGAAGGACTAATTTCTACACTTCCGAGTTACTCAATTCATCCAAAGAAGTAATCATGTTGTGTCCTTTATTGAAAAGTGTTGTGATTTACGGCTCAAAATTAGGATGAAGCAGAAATTATGTTTGTGTTACCTATTTTGTTTTTGTGTCCTATTTGAATTTGATTTTGACTTCTTGGTAGGATTTTTAACTTGATGGAGGGATTTTGTTAATTACCTATTTCATTGTAATTTGGATTTACTTCCAATTCGGATTATGATTCTCATTGTAATCTAGTTCATATGCACTATAAATAGAACCTTAGGGTTCAATTTATTTTGTGTGTCTCACCATTAGTTTAGAACGTTCTCTTTTGGGTTTTGGGTGGAGGTCACCGTTTGGGGTTATGAGTGCGTGACAAATTCATGACTCATTCGTTTGGCAAATTTGTGAGAGTCAATTTGTGAGTTTAAGAGTTAGAGCAATTTGAGAGAGACTACTTTGATTGTTTTGGGTGCTCTACTCATTTGGTTTGGGTTTATAATTTGTGAGATTTAGTTGTAAGATTTTTAAAAACTCTTTTGTAATCTCCATTTGCTTAGTGAAATTCCTCGTTGTGCTTCGTCTGTGGACGTAGGCTTTTACGTTGAACCACGTTAATCTCTTGTGTTCTTATTTTCATTTTCACTTACGATGTTGATATTTGATACTTTGTTAGGATTTGTTTCTACAAGCGCATGAAAGTATAAAAGTGGTATAAGAGCTGTATTACGAATTGGGCTTTGTTTGCCGTTCATGATGAACCCTTGTGTTGTAGGCGGAATTTGATATTTGAATAATTCGATGGGAGGAATGATTTTGAGAGTTACCAAGTCCTTTGGTTGTCCTTGAGGTAACGTTTGGTCATTCTGCATTGTTATAAGGTGGAGTTTGATGTTCGAGACTTTGGTGAAGTACAAAATTTGCATTTTTGGTTTGTATGTTGAAGCTTTTGCTTGAATTTCATTTCGTATTTGTTAGTTTTCATGATAGAATATGTTGGAGGAAATTCTAAATTTTAAAGACTTGAATTTTCTGGGTTGGGGTGGAGATGAGTTTTCGAAAGAAAAATATAACCAAATTGAATAAAGAGAGGGAGAGAGACTCAGAGTTTAAAACAGAACTCCAATTCGCATCCAAGTTGAGCATACCCAACTCTGAAAAAAGAAGAAGTCCAAATTCATTAGGTCAAGAACGCATGACAGCCACACGTGTCTTACAGGGATAAATCCATCATTTGTTAGCTTTGCATGTGATGGATAATTGATAAAAGACAGCGAATTGAACAAATTCAGTTATGGTATTTGTTACTTTGTACAAAGTAACGTAAGCAAAACATTCGTAATTTTACTTTAATTCTTTCTTTCTACCCAACCCATCACATCCAAAGTTATAAAACGAAGAAAAACCTTCATTTCAAAATAAGGAACTTTAACGAAAAGCACCTGGTACTGTTCACTTTAACGAAAAACCATATTTTTACACTAAAAAGTCAATCCTGGTACTATTCACTTTACCCTTTATTTTGTCCTTATCATTAAAACTCAAAATTTTCAAACCCTTTTCATTAGTTTTCCTTTCAAAATATGCCTGAGACTATTTGTTGGAAAAAACAAAAAAAAAACAAAAAAGCCTACTGTTTTTGTACGTTGGTTTGACAATTAGAGTGAGTGTGAGCGAGTCTAAGTCAAGTGAAGTAGCCAAGTGCATATCGTATCATGGTGGTCAATCTGCAAGCCTTCCCTGTGTGAAGATGACTGGGAAGTACACAATCTGGTTAATCCCCGCCACCCCATGTTCATCTGCGTCTTCCTTAAGTATGCGAATGTACCCATCTTCTCCCCATTTCGGTCCCCACGAGTTCTTCACGATCCAGTACTCTCCCTCTTCACAAACCCCCCACCCCACTAGCAGCATATAGTGTACTCCGCGAGTTTTGCCCGATATCCTTCTGTATATACCCTGCGATCAAACCACAGGGAAGAAGCAATCAATGGAGGAAGCAGCAAGGCAAGTAGATGAATCAGTGGAAGAAGCAGCAAGACAAGTAGATGAATCAGTGGAAGAAGCAGCGAGACAAGTAGATCAATCACTAGAATGCCTGCATATCAATGAAATTGAGGTATGATTCATTTCATGAAATATTGTCAATCTTTGGTTTCTAGGGTTGGGGTTATCTGAAATTTATTTCAATTAATTGATTTCTGTGTTTTTGTTATTGGAAAATCAACCCAAATCTCCATCTCTGAAACATCTGCTTTCAGGACAAGAAGATTTCAGTGCTGAATTGAAAAAAAAAAAAAAAACTAGACTCTCCTAGATCCAGTTAGTGTTTGAACTAGAAAAAGGTTGCTAAATCATCATCTCAGGCTCAGTTGGACACCTTATATTTTGTATTACTGCTATTTCTAGTTTTTCAGGTTCTAATGCAGCTTAAACTTCGCACGAGAGAAAGGAGAGCCATCACATCCATAAGCAATTTTTATATTTTAAAGGTAAGAGGAAGAATGTGTAAAAATAAAGGTCAGAAAACATAAAACATAAGAACAAAATAGTATGTCACACACCCCTGCATATTTACTGAGGGACTCTTCGCCAGATACAATGCATACCACCGGATGGCGCTCAAGCACTTCCAAAATATCTTTTGCACCCTTCACCACTCGCTGCCCATGAATATACACCCTATGTCCAATTTGCTACAAAAATAAAAAAATGAAACCATTTGTTATTCAGTGTTTAATTCTTTTTGAAAACGTTTAAAGGAAACCATTTCCTACTACTTACCGTAGGAGAACGAGGAGCGCCATATGGGATGTCAACCTCCAGTCCCACACCCGCAACCTTGATAAACCTGTAGATATTTGGAATGTAATAGCCATTTTCATCCCCAGGCACGTGATTAATCACATCCTGAGGAGAAAGTATGACCTTCTCTCCTGTCCGAATCTGGTGCAATGATGCAACGCAGCTCACTGCAGCCATCGGTCCACAAGAATCTGTGACAAATAACAGAGTGCGTCAATATTTTCCTCCTATATTATTTCATTGTATGACTAGATGTTTTGAGAGTAAGGTTTTCAATTCAGGGATTTAGGATTTAGGGTATTCTAGATTTTGGGATTTTGGTCTTGAGTCTTCACCTAATAATGTTGTGGATTTTGTAGATTGGGTTTGCTCTGGAGAAGCTTTATGCTGATGGTATGGTGAAGCAGTAGATAGTACCCTGCAACACTATCTGGTATGTTAATCTGATGATTCTCTGGATCTCTGAAACTTATTGTTTTGTTTCCTTTTAATTTGTTAGAAGAAGTATGTAACAATAATAATCGGTGTTCATGGAAAGCCTCAGAGGCTATGGAATTGGAATATATGATGGATGGATGGATGGGTGGATGATTTGTTTTTATATATTTTATGTTTTCTCTGATTAATTTAGCAATTCAATCTGAATTCTCATGTTCCTAATTGATTTGTTCACAGGCTGACCAAGAATCTGGTCAACGAAATTAAGTTGCATGAGCAACTGAAATTAAGTTGCATGAGCAACTGAATTTAAGTTGCCTGCAATCTGTATGAATGTATGAATGTGAGAGAACATATGTATGAGGCAATTAGCAACTGAAATTAAGTTGCCTTTTAATTTCTTGATTCTAAATTTTGTAGGAATTACAAAAGCAAACAAGTACGCCACTACGCCCTATTAAGTTTCCTTGGTTTGCTTCTCTCAAATCTAATCTAGATGATTGAATGAAAAATTTATAAATGTTTGTTAGTATTAATTTTTCAATATTGTTTTTCACCAGTTAGTGTTTTTCTTTTGGATGTGGAAATAGCCAGTTCTTTGTGTTTATTTGACTTTATAGGTTGTAAAGAATCAGTAACCCCTTGTCAATCTGAAAAGACTCCATCAAGACTCCTTCTTCAGGTTATTGGTATGATTTATCATTTAGATGAACTACTGGTGAAAATTTATATGAGTTCTGTTCTTCTTGTTTCTTTATCACGTGAGATTTGGTATCATTCGTAGATTGTGTTAGGAAGAGAGGTGTGGACCTATGTTAGACTTGGATCTTAACTAATTCAGTCCATTTGTGGTTTTAATAGTATTTTATAGACTCTTGGATTTGTTTGCTAAACTGTTTAGAAATCCTCAAGGCTGCTTGTTGCACTAACATGGTTATCTCACATACTGCTGCTAAATATTGATGGCTTTTTACTGCTGCTAAATATTGATAATCGGTATGAATGTATGAAATGTGTGATACTCGAATTAGCCTTACAAAGCAATCTGCACGACTGTAAGAATGTATGAATGTTTCTCGATTTGCCAAATCAATGCACTATGATTCATTCAATGATGCCTTGGAAACAAGTGAGATGAAAATAATATGGTTTATTTCTTTTTCTTGCAGATTCATTGAGGATTGCAGAATGATGCTGCAGATTCAAACTTGGTATTTTGATGTTTACAGTTGGGATGTGATTACTTAATTTGTATGTTATTTTGATGTTTGGACTTGGGAATTTGGATGCCTTCTTCTATATATTGGGTGTAGCACCACCTAGGAATACATTAGATTGAAGATGCAGTACAAAAAGTTATATTCAATCTATTGACTTTCTACTACCAGCTCAAAACTATTGCTGCTCTAGATTTGTACTGCTTACTCTTGTTACTGATCAAAATTTGTTCTGCTATACTGATTAAAATTTGTTTCATTTTCAAACGGATCCGGTCCGATCTCCGGTTTTGGGCCCGGCTTGGCCCATGCCCCACCCCAACCTCTACTCTCCGTATCATGTAATGTGAAACAATAGATTTAATTAAAGAAAAACTGTGAAAGTTAAAAGAAGTGACTTACTCAGCTTGCCTTGGGTTCGAACTGGGGTGTCATAACCAAGAGCGGCCCAGTTAAATGGCTCACCTTGGCTTGATGACTTTGTATGGGTCTGGATGAGCAGTATGGAAAAGACCTGAAAGTTAAGAGTCAGAGAACATCAACTTAAGCAAATTAATTCGGAATCATAAGAAAATCCACTTAAACAGCAAGTTAATTGTGACACTTGAAAACCACTATATGCTGCTTGTGGGATGGGGGATTTGTGTGAGTTGATACATTTAATTTGATCTGCACACTCCAAACCCATTTATCTGTTCTTCTTCAAATGAAGAGGGGATTTGATCTTTGGTTTTTATGTTTTCTGTTTCATATATTATTCAAACTTCCTTTGTTTCAGATTCAAATGAAGTTCCCTGCCCTTTTTGGAATTAAATAGTTAAACAAACAAACCCATTTGGCCATGGTTAAATTTTAGTTTTTTTTTAATTAGATGTAAGGATACGTTAACATAATGGATTTAGATTGTGGGGGTAATTTAGGTAATAAACGACAGTTTAAAAATATATTAATAGATAAATTAAATACAATATGGGTGTGGACAATAAGTTGAGTGTACATAATGAGAAATAATATGAATTTAAATAAAATTTCTCAACAAATTAATAAGGGGCTGGAATTAAACCTTTAGCGACCTCCAGTTGCTTGGTCATTTGAGCTCTAACCCCAGAGAATCTGGAAAGAAGCATGGTCGCTCACAAATCAAATCACCTGGATAACATGGAAACTGAAGCATCACACAATGAACCAAATAAAAAATAATAATAAAAACCGGATTTGGCAACGCAAATGGTGTTATATGTTCATGCAAAGTAGGAACTTTGTTCGTGGGATTGACAAGAAAAGAAGAATTAAAAAATGAGGGTTTCGATTGGGGAGAAGAAAACACCAAAAATTTGAATCCATAAAAAAGTCTAAGAGTCAAAACCCACTTGCATTTGTTTTTGGGGGGAATGTGCCAATGCCATTTGAGAATAGAAACTAAATATGTGAAAGTTGAACAAGAAAAAAATCTGGTCTCATTGTGCAAGGTACCTTGTGTAGTCTGGACTCTGCAACGAGAGTGCCAGAGGGAGAGAGCAGTATCGACGAGCAGTCGGAAAGGGGCGGGCAGGCGCAATTTATGTAATGTGTTTCTTTTCTTTGCTTTTTATTCTTTTTTTCCTTTTAATAAATACACACCCATATACATATAGAGGATTGATAACAACTATTAAGTGAATTTTTCTTGTTGATATTAATTCCTAACTTTGCTTATTCACTTGAATGAGTTAATTAGGGGATTAGGTGGTGGCAAGTTTTGCCTGTCGGACAGAGATTCTTTTTAATTATGTTATCTGATCACTGTATGTTCGACCAACGTTATAAAACAATGATCCTCTTATATTTTGATCTTATTTGGATGAGGGAGACTCTCAGTTGCAATTAGAGAAACACTCCTAATTACAAGTCAGATTTTCCTTCGTATGATAGAGATGCTCCAAATGAGGTAGACTCTCAATTTTAATTAGAGAAACACCCATAATTACAAGTCAGATATTCTTCCGTTTGATAGAGATGCCCTAAACAAACAACCCTAAGCATGAATCCCTCTTTTTCCTTTTTTTGGTGAATGAGTCCCTCATTATCAAATAAGTGATTTGGTAGGTGCCATCCTAATTTGCTATAACCTTAAGTTGTCGAAAACAAAATTCCACTGCGGTGGTCCACTCTAAAACGATGTGGAAGGTTCCATGGAATTAAAACATTTCATTTCTTTCTTTGACAACAGAAAGGCATACAAAGGGCACATCCCAAGAGATCCAAAAGGAGTATCACAAGCAAAGCTCCACATTTCTCAATGCTCATTAGCTGATAGCGATGGCTCTCTTCTACCTATTGTTTGTTTATCCCGGAAACAGAAAGAGAGAACAAGGGTTTTGAATCTTTTGATAGATTAAAGTTATACAAATTAAAAAAGACTTATATAGAACGAGTTCATCTTCACCATATTATTTCGAGACATTAATATAATGTTATAAGTAAAATTTTATGCACATAGTATTCTACTCTTAAATTAAAATATCACGTGATAATAACAGTTCTGCCTTGTTTTTTATCACTTGAACAAGTAATCATATATAGGAAAATATATTTTGATCTCTCGTGTCTCTTGTAACGGGGTCTAAATTTGCAGACTCCTTTTTCAGTTTTCACACATCAGGAAACATGAAGGGCTCTAGCTAAAAGTTATTATTTTATTTTCCTTTCATTTCTTTGGGTTTGATCTGGAGCTCAAGATGGGTCATGGAAGCACATATAAACTTGGGATGAATATTGCATGTAGGCTTTTAAACTCTAATCATTTGTTCCTTTATTGAACTCTAGGCATTTAATTGGTATTAATCAATCTTTCTTAATATTTACAAGATAAAGCATTTCTGTAGTAATGTTAATCAAAATTTTTGTTAATGATTGAATTCTTATTTAAATGTTGATTAATATGCTTATTTTTTATCGGTGACACATCATTTGGTTGCAAATTTAATTTAAAAATTTGGTCTACCTAGCATTACCCCTCAGATTCTTCAACTCTATTCTCTGACCTTTCCTTCCGTGACACGGTCGATTATTCCGACTATGCCCTCCTTGACCTGATATTACCAAATACCAATGCATGGAAAGAACGACGGCAATATAAAAAGAGGAGTAATGTTAGGGAGACAAAATTTGGAGACTAAATTATGTGTCACTAATAGAAATAAGCACGTCTATCAACGCTTAAGTAATAAACTAATCATCAACTTACATGTCATTTAGTTTTCAAAATTTAGTCTTCCTAACATTACTCTAAAAAGAGTAGTGTTTATTAGAGATCATTCTCTTATTTTTGTTATTATTATTAGAAAAAAGTATCACTACGGTAAAAAACAGATGCTAACATTTTTGAAACTGAAAGCCCAAATATTTCTGCCCCTCGTTCTATATACGTGTCTTAGACCAATATTCATTCACATGCATGCACGACCAGCTATGACTCCCTGCATACTTGGATTTTGCTTCTGGGTGTTAGAATTCTTATGTCCCACATCGGCTTGAGAACAAGCCTCATAAATAGAATTACTCCACTCTAACTAATACCGAGATCTTTTGTATTAAAACCCCACACATGACAGATTGAGCAGGTGGCCAAGTGGGGACAGTATCAGTGTTGTTGGAGTAGGCCCATGGCCCCTCTACCTGAAATTTAAGATGGTATCATAGTCAGGGGACGAGCCCGTACTACCTTGTGAACGGGTGGGTCCCCTTTGACCCCTCGCGAATGGGTGAGCCCCGACTTAGCTCCACGTAGGCCAAGAGATGCCACGTGAATGAGTGGGTCCCCATTGGCCCCGTGCGAACAGGTGAGCCCCGGCTTGGCTCCACGCGGTTGCCGATGTGTGGAACTTCACGTGTGATCCATAAAATAGGGTCTCACGTGCGGGGGAGTGTTAGAATTCATCTGTCCCACATCTGTCAAAAGGCTTGAGAACAAGCCATTTAAATAGAATTACCCCACTCTAACTAACACAACATGGTTGCCAATGTGTGGAACTTCACGTGTGACCCATAAAATGGGGTTACATGTGCGGGGGAGTGTTATAATTCATTTGTCCCACATCGGCCAAAAGGCTTAAGAACAAGCCTTTTAAATAGCATTACCCCACTCTAACTAAAACCGAGGCATTTTGTATTAAAATCTCACACTTGACGGATTGAGCAGGTGGCTAAGTGGGGACAGTATCAGTGTTGTTGGAGTGTGCCCATGGCCCGTTTACCTAAAATTTAAGATGGGGTGGGGTGGGGGTGGCTCCTGCGTACTGATATTAGCGGCAAGATTATGAATTGATTTAGGGTTAGCAAGTCTAACAATTTTATATTGATCCCTGCATGCATGGCTCTCCTACGTACGGTCCTATACGTCCCCTTCTTGTTGAATGTTGAGCTGCCATTTGATAGAGTTATAGCTCCTGCATGCATAGCTCCCCACCAAGTTGCAGGTTGCCGAGTTCCACCACTGGCATCATCCACATTGCAGCTCCCTGCATGGTTTGGAGGATATAAGGGGGACGTAATGAAGTTGCTTGTAATTCCTTTTAAAACATGTCATTGTCATGTCTTTTTACTAATTTGTCTTCGGGTTTTAATTTTTTACTAATTTATCTTCGGGTTTTAACTTTTGGAATTAAAATCGCAACACGACACTATAGAATCCCAAATATCTTCTTCTGTAAGAAAACTGAATTGGTATTGCATTTGTGCTATGGTGGACATTTACAGAATTGTCTCTAACACTTGAATTGGATGAGACTTGGATTGGTGTCCGTTGCTTGGTACTCACTAAGCCAATAGGATTGGACTAGCTTTGGTGTAGAGGTGATATGTTGGGATTGAAAAGCTAATTAGGCTTGTACAGTACACCCAAAGGAATTCTCTCTCCCGACTTCTCACTCTCTCCTCTACACTTAAATTCCGACGACCCACTCACCCGCTACCACCCGACATCCCACGACCACGCACCCACCTGCGACTCTGCAATAGCAACATCCCGACGACAACCCACCCAATCGCTGCTCACAACTCGCAACGACTCGCTAACCACCGAAGACCCACCCAGCCGCTGCTCCCAACGATCCAACAAAATCTTCTACGCGAAGTCGTGAGAGATCCACCACAAAAGTCCGACGACCAGATGATCCCAATCTAGAGAGAGATGGTGAGGACGAGAGATGGTATCAATGGAGAAGAAGATGAAGCGAGAGAAAAAACGGAAAAAGACGTCTCGCGCAGTGGCCTCGCACAAACGGACTTGTAACCCGTGTGTTAGCTGTGCTGCAAAATGAAGGCCTATGTCTCATGTGAATGGTTTTTCGTACTGTCAATTGTGCATAAACCTAATGTTCGTTTTCTGGGAGTCCAAAAACTAACGCATTGGCTTCTCTTTTAGAATGCAGGACTGCAGTTTCTGAGACCGGTGATGGCAAGCATGCAGGGGGCTATATCCGATTAGATGAAACATTAAGGGTTATAAAATACAAGTAAAAAACTACTACCCGAAGCTTAGTAGAACTCAAGGGAAGTTCTTGACTATCTCATAGTCTTAGGAGACCTCATAAGTGCTCCTTCATTGGATAAGTTGCAACGTTACGCGTGATTAGTCTTGATCTCACTGGGCCAAAATTTGATGTTTTGTCAGTTTACTAGAATGAAGTCGACTGCCTTAGGAAATGAAGTGCGAGTATATACTGACACTTAACGGATGTTTATTAGTTTTTAGGGAATTGGATCCATCCGAATCCATTGTTAGTCATTCATAGTATATCGTGCGATCATAAATTATTTGATTTTTTTATTTAAAATTAAACACAAATAGTATCTGACAAAAAATGACTGCATGATATACGATGAAAGGCTAAGATGTGGGGATCTCTAAGATCCCTACAGATCCTCACAAAGTGGATCCAGAGAGCATCCTCTTCCAATTTTTAGTATACACGGGCAATGAAAATTGTGCTTTTGCTTTTGTTTCTTCCTACAAAATTTTTTATTGTGACTGAAACACATGTAGTACTCCACGTGTTTTAATATAAGTGGTGAGAAATTTTATTTTTTAAGTTATTAACTTTTTAAAGTACATATCCTAATATTTATATGGTGACACGTAGTGTATTATCCTATGTACCTGACACAATGAAAAATCTCTCATTCCTTACCGGTGTTTATTATTTGTGGGTACATACTGATTGGTTAATGTTGCCATGCTTTTCGTCGTAGATTATGTCCGTCGTTACATTTGGGACAAGTTGATACAAGCTGATTATTCCAACAGATGTAGAGAGAGCTCCCCTGGAGCAAGTAACACTGGGCACCTTGCACAAGTGGACTCTCCCATAAGTTTGAAGAGGGAGACTTCTTGTATAATTTATGCGCAAGATTAGAGAAAGCACTTGATAATTTACTAGGTTTAAAAAGATGTATCTTCGAGTACTTCTTAGATCACTTCCATCCCTAACAAATGTGCTAGCTCAAAGTCTATTTTTAAGGCCAGCTCCCCTAAAACCCCACTCCACCCCACCCAATAGGCTGGCCCAAAGTGGAGGCCAGCTTTGAGCCTAGCACATAATGAATTGAGCAAGAGACCGGTCTATATGATGCCAAATTGACGTCATACATGTGAATTTCCCTTTTTTTTTTATTGCCGCTAGTGAGTGGGATACATGCGCGTGTGGGCGTGCGTTCCAGCATTAACAAAAAAAAATGTCAGAATCTTACCGTGGGCCACGTGTTCACTTTTGGGCTGTTGGATTTCATTTTTTTTGAAATCCAACGATCCAGATTAATACAAATTGACTAGACTCTTACTCAGCTCATTTTTTAGGGATGGAGATGCACTTAGCCAATTATTGTTCATTGGAGTCCATTACTATTCATTTTGGTGGATTAAATGGACTTTGGGCCAGCTCATTTTTTAGAGGTGAAGTTGCTCTTATGGCGATGTTGTTTTCGCAATCTAACTATGTAAGGATTGTATATGATCAACTTATGTGCTTGAAAGTGCTTGAAACATGAATGGTAAGTTGATTCATGGTACGGATTGTCTTTGCATTTCAGTGGGGTGTTTATCAGCGCAATCTAATTATTAATGGCTGGCTCTGTATATATCTAGATCTATTTTTGGATGATTAAAAATCATATCCTTTCTTGTTTCCCCTCGAGTCATTTTAGATACTAGCGATAGTATGTGCGCAATACTACGAGTTTGAAAACCATATAAAACAGTTCAATGTTCCCAAGTACATATGTGATTTGCAATACATACATGTGATTTATGTCTTTTTGTCCATTAACGGAACACAATTGAAAAATGAAAAGCAAAAATATAAAAGGTAATACTAAAAAGATTAAATTTGTAGACAAAACTTTAGATACTAAGGGAGCGTTTGTTTGCCTTCGTTAAGTCTCACTAAACTAAATTGGATTAAAAGCTAGTGAAATCCCGTGTTTGTTATTAGAAGGGACTAGTTTTAATGGGCTTAGCTTTCACTTGCTTTGACTTCCACTTCGCTAAACCGTCTTAGCGAGTCCTCTCGCAAACCATGAGATTGCTAAGACCACATCTCTCGCGTCCTCGTCCTCTCTCTCGCATCCTTCATCTCCGACTGACCACTCCTGTCACGTCCTCGTCATCTTCGGCTCCTCGATTTGGAGATGGCCAAGTTGATCATCAGCCACAGCAGCTGCAAAACAAAAACCAAATTGCAGCTGTAGAGAGCTTCGACTGTGCTGAGAACCTTCGAGGAAGATCTTGCCCTCGCCGCGTTCGTTTCAATTGGGATATTGATTTCCACCATTGTTTTGTTGAGGGAGAGAGAGTTGTGGAGGATTTTGAGATTTGGAGGGGGTGTGATTAATTCTTCTGAAACTAGAATGATCCATGAGCTGGTCACTTGGAAAAGACAACAACCATGGCAAGCAATCGGTGAGATGATGAATGTGGCTAGGAATTGTTTTTTATTTTTAGGGTGAATTAGAAAATGACAAAACAAATTTGGATGTTGAATTAGCGGTCCCATTTTTTACTGGTACCATGCATGTAGAGTCACAGAACTAGGCGGAATGGCATTTTAGAATTCATATAGCCGACCCCATTTAATGAGAAAATGCTGTGTTGTTGTTGTTGTTGTACCATGCATGCAGAGTCTTGCCTATTGGTAATGTAGATAGGAAATGGTATGCTATGCTGAGGTTGGGGTTCTTGTGTTGCAGAATTTTGATTGGAAGATGAACTGTGACACCACTTGTTAAGCTTCATAATTTTGTGCACCCAGATGACCATTTGATTCTAATTTTGGAAGATGAAAGTGGAAGAGTTAAGTTTTCTGGACATGTGCTTTCACCTCCTATGTATGTAACAGGAACTATTGTTGGCTTTCATGGAAATGAGACTCATTAGCATTCCTAAATTCTTTGAGACCAGAGTTGCTGTTGTGTTAAATTTGGGGAATCTTGAATGCCATACACCACTACAAAAAAAACTTGTTAAATACGATGCTAAAAACTCGTCGTGTAAAGTCATGAAAGCGTCGTTTATGCGTTTTAACGACAATCATGCGACGCTTGTGATAGTGTTGCAACAAACCCATGTCGCAAAAGTTTTCACAACTTATTGCGACACTTGTGTTTATTTACGACAGCTTTACAACACAATAGTTAGCGTTGCAACTGATTTGATTGTGGAATTAAACAAAATATTTGGAACATGTTTGACACGTCGTAAATGCTTTTATCCTTGCAGTTTTTTTGTTGTAAATACAAAGTTGGAAATCATATTTGTTCAGTGAAAGATTGGGTTGCAATTTATAATCTTATTCACAATCATTCTAAGTTCAAAAGTAAAATGATATATGAATCAAAGAACTGTGCTTTTAGAATTCCGAATAACATTGAAAGTACATCATCAACATATCCCAATACACAATCCTACTAGAGTCAAATATAAATAATCTCATCCCAAAAGTTATGAACATATTTTTTTTCTTTCAAATATGCTCCAACATAGTTCAAGAGTTTAATTATGATCAAGACTCTTCATCACAATCTCCATGCAAACCTGAAAAATAAGAATTACCATCAATAACATGTGTTAATTAAAAGTTTAATCTTTAGTATAATGTTTTCTTTACAAACCTTTTATGAAAGCAATTGTTTCTATGCTTCTGGGTCTAACTGAGGTTGCTGTTCATTACTCTCATATGTTTCTTGTAGATGGCTTGATGTATTTAGAGCCTATATTTAACACCAAAATGACAAATAGAAATCAAAATTGCTCAAATTTTCACACTAATTTATTCTAATAAATTGAAAAGAGAACAAAATCACATTCGAATTTATATACTTGTCCACTTCTGCTTGGTGATGTGTTAACATGGAAACCAATATGAGTCATCATGTGATGGTGTTTCAAACTGACTTCACTATACTTGGATCTGAGATCTTCAATTTCATATTCATGCTTAGCCTTAAGATCATCTATCTTAGTCTTATATTGTCTTTCTACCTCTTCTTGTATGGTGTCCTCATTAACATTGGAAGATCGTGAACTTTGACCAAACACATGAGATGGAGTTATACCTGTTCCATACATGCGAACACGTCCATGTGCATCAGGTCCCATAACTCTAGTAAACACCTCCTCTCGATAATCCTCATCTTGCTCATGCTCTTCCCTTTCTCCCAAGCATTGATTAAATTGATTCTACAAAACATGACCCAACCAGTTCAAATGACCAAAAGATAAAAATAATGCACAACCCAACTAATCAAAAGGATGTGAATATGCAAAGTTTTTACTTTGAAAAATAAATAAATAACTGATACTTACAATAATGCCGCCACTTTCCTCATCGAAAAGGTCTATGTCATCATTCTTTGTTTTCTTTGTTCTTGTTTTTATAAACATGCTCAACCGATCCGTTTTCTCTCCCTTCTCTCTCATCTTAAGAGCACACAATGTTTAATCGAGTTAGTAATGAAAACCGTTAAATGGAGAAAATAAAAACTTTCCATTGAGCAAATGAAACCATATGTTTGAAATCACCAGTTCATTGAGATGAGGTTACTAAGTTCTCTGAGAATCTTACAAAGACAAAATAACAATTCATCGAGGAAACGTTAATAACATATGCACCTAGAAACATAACATAGAGTTTGGTTTACACGGAAGCGGTTTTGAGAAGCAATGACTATAAACCATAGAGTTTGATTTGTTTGGAAGCAACTTTAAGAAGGAACGGGTTTCCGAAACCATCTGAATTTTATGCACGGTGGTTCATCAGTGTGAATTTCTAGTTTATCTGTAACTATTTGTTCCACATTTTAAATAAAGTCTTATGAGCATAAAACTCATACACAAACAGCCACAAGACCGACCCTAAGCAAATCCCAGAGATCCGGGCAACAAATTCGTAAGGCTTTCGAACTGATTTATGAAAATTAAGCAATACTTAGCCATCAAACACTCCCAATTAATCACATCAGAAGCCACATGGGTCACATAAAATTAAGGTTGAATGATTGTATGACAGTGCCATTGTTATTGTTAAAAAGGTGCATTCAAGGTGTAAAAGAACTAAAAAGTTATGAATTTTAAGCCGCAAATTGATCAAAAAATTATTAGAAAATAAAATGTGACAATTTTCCAGTGACCCAGCTCCAGTTTTTGCATAATATCAACAACTCTCAATGAACTTATTACTCATTGCAAATGCAAAACTAGTGTTCTGACCTCATGTTTCAATTGAGCAAACGAAGTACGACCAATCCAATAAGGAGCACTTCCATGTGCATGATTAGCCTTATTTGCCTCGGAATATTCCTACACATGTTTAAAGCAACCATAATTCATCACTATTATAAACTTAAAATGTAATTTTTCCTAATTTACCTTTACATTAGGGAGGCCCCAATACTTTGCTAGTGTCTTCCATTGATTTGTAGTGACTTGAGGAGGAGTGAAGGATAAACGTTGTTCATCGGTCCAGTATGCGTCATACTATCTTTGCTTAACCCGACACTTCCCATCCCTCCATTTATTGCCAATAACCTTCAAGCAATGATGTTTATATGCATCAGGGATATCTATGGTATCCTGCAATTATTAGATGATAATTATTAATGAAATGAAGACTTATGCATCTGAGTAAAATTAGTAAATTTTGTAAATGCATGTTGTTTACTGTGACTTCTTTCCAAATATCATCTAATACATGATCATGCATTTCAGTCCATGAAACATATGTTAGAGGAATCTTTTGACCATTTCTTGCTATAATTCCAAGTTGTCCACTAAACCTAGTTGCATTTTCTTTGATTGGCTTCCATTTAGAATCAAAATCAATATGAACTTTTGTTCTAGTTCCCCACTATGAGATAGAAAGAGTAGCACCCCGACCTTTCCTAATACCTTCAGACTGATTTTCACCTATAAATTATTCATTATAAGCAACATATAATTTGAATGATAGAATAAAAAACTAGAAAAATTAATGGTCCTTTAGCATTGCAAACCTGTTTGGTCTAATGGAGTCACCAAAGGCTCACCCTCATGACTAGACGCATATGGATTTTATTGTAGTTGTGTCTCTAATTGAGACTGTGTACGCCTTGTAATCGGTGGCTGCTGTTGAGTTTGATTCAATGTGGTATGTTGAGATGACCTAGATAACTGAAGCTAATTCGAACTTTGTCCACGTTGTTGAGATGGTCGTGCTTGTGGCCTACCCTTTTTAGCTCTCATTGGAGATGGGGGAATCAATTCCTCCATTGATTTGCCTCTTCCCCTCTTTGGTGCCATTTTCTGTCGCACTAAAAAATTAGTATATACACATGATGAACCATCATAAAAGATTGATGTAAATAATTCATAATATGTAACCGAGTACCTACCAAGTACCTTATTAAATGTTACTCCCTGTGCACGATTATTAATCTAACATATATACATGCATTGATAAACATAATCATAATTATAGTGATAGAAAACATATAGTCAATTAGAAGTAATAAAGTAACTAATAGAATCAGAATTTACAAAATAATGTCACACGATAACAAGAATTTCCAATATGATCTACTAATACACTATATGGCCAATCATTCTTTCAGGGCCGGCCCTGAGAAATTGGGGGCCTAGGCGAGCCTTCGAGTGGGGGCCCTAAAGTTCTTTGATACCCAACTCATTGTACATTTATATGTATAAGAAAAGATTTCGCTAAATACATGAAAAAGTTCGTTTCTACATCAAAAATCATTAGAACTTATATCCAAAGAAGAAATATATGCAAACATTACTTAAATATTATACGTCTCGCGTTTTTAGACGCAAATGTATTAATTAAGTTTACATAATCTAACTTTTCAACCAATTCTTTTTCAATTGACAAAATAGCTAACCCATTCAATCTTTCTTGTGACATAGTTGATCGAAGATACAATTTGATCAACTTTAATTTTGAGAAACTTCTTTCTGCAGAGGCAACTGTAACTGGTATGGTTAACAAAATACGATAAGCAACCCATGCATTTGGGAAACAACCATCCTTTTGTCTTATATATTTTAGCACTTCCATTGCTCGATTTATTTCCTTCGGCAAAGTTTCTCTTAAGATTTTTAGCTCTATAAATAAGTATTTTCCATCAATATCAGAATGCTCACCATGTTTCAGAAATTCTTTAAGATTGATACAAAAACTCTTCAAGCTATCATTGTCTACATCTTTTAACTTCTTCAAAGTAAACAAAAGCCCAAAAGTTTCTTCATATTTATGACATTGTTCAAACCTGATATGAAGTGAAGTACGAGCTTAATCAACTATATAAATGAAGTAATCAACTCTAAAAGCTTCAATTGCTGATTGTGTTGCCACTTCACTAGCACTCTCATCAAACTGTTTCTTTCTTCGAATGATGCATTTCTCACGAAAAACAGGCTCAATCTCCATCTCACTTGCTATTTTCTTAGCTTCATTCATTGCCTCTTCAAATCCAGTTTCTCTATACTGATCAAGAACAGATATAAACCCTTTCAATTGATCAATAGCAACATCAATATGCATATCTTCTTTTTGAAGAGTTTTGCTAATAGTATTAATAGCAAACAACAATTCATGCCAAATAACCCTACCTAACAAGAACTCAAAATTCTCCAACTCATGGATTGCTAGGGATTCGGCTTCACTCTTTGACTTAGGATCTTCACTAGTATTTGCCAAGTGAATCAAAGCATCTCTTATCTGTTGAGCGCTTTCTCTTATGGGTTTAACACTTTCAATATGACTTTCCCAACAAGTTTGTGACAACGGTTTGAGAGTGTGACTTCCTTGCACATGATCTGTAAAAACTTTCCATCACTTTGTTGAGGATGAGAATAATGTATATATACATTGTACCACTCCAAAAAAAGACATAGTTTTAGGACAACAATTGACCATATCACAAAGTGCAAGATTAAGGCTATGACAGCCACATGGAGTGTAGAATGCTCTAGGATTTATTTCAAGTACTCTGCTTTTCACGCATTTATTTTTGCCTTTCATATTTGAACCGTTGTCATAACCTTGTCCCCTTATGTCATCAACATCAAGTTTAAGATTGCTCAATGCACCGAAAAGCACATCAAACAGTGCACACCCTGTTGAGTCATGTACATTCAGAAATTCTAAAAAGAATTCTTCAACCTTTATTGGAGTTTTTGTAACATCCACACAGCTTATTATAAGAGACATTTGATCTTCATGACTAGCATCCGGAGTGCAATCAAGTATCACTGAAAAAGACTTTGCTTCTCGAATTCTTGCTATGATTTCACTTTTGACCTTACTTGCCAACAGTTGTGTCAATTCATTTTGAATCTTGTGACCAAGATAATGGTAATGAGTCTTATGTGTATCAATAAGCCGAATGTGCTCTTGCATTGTAGGATCAAATTCAGCAATCATTTCAATCACATTTAAAAAAATTCCATTATTCTCTTCATACAGCTTCTCATTGTCTCCACGAAATGCCAAAGTAACTTTTGCAAGTCTTTTCACATACAATCTTCTCATTGCCTCCATAACACTTGTCTCCAATGCTCTTTCTCTTTGCTGATTTGTTGTTGCACACTTTCATCAATTGTTTTACATTTTTGCAATCTTCTTTCCAATTCAATCCATTTACTCATGTAGTGAATGTGTTCCTTGCTAGTTTCATGAGTTGTAAGCCTGTGACCAATATTCTTCCAATCTTTCAACCCTCATTATCCAGGTAAGTCTTGATTCCAATTTGCTTGAATAACTTGCAACAAAAACAAAATACTATAAAGAACATGAGTACACTAGCCATTTCCTATCTTGCGTCTCCCCATTAGGCAATTTTCTAATGTAATGTACAAAAGAAAAATGCCTACCTGAATTATCTTTCGGAAATGCAACATCATCAATTCTTTTAGGACCTTTTTTCACTAACATGTCCCTAAGATTTTGATCAATCTTATCCCAATTCCCTGGATCATCAATATTCAAAGGAAAGACAATTTCAATATCCTTACCATTCTCATTAGTTTGATCATGTTCTTCAATGTCAGTCTCAATCAGAGGTTCATCTTCTTGCTCTTTACTACCATCGTCAGATAGAGGCTCATATTGCTCATCTTGCTCTTCGTTATCAATCTCAATTGTGAAATCATCTTTCTCCCCATTACTGTCATGATTCCCTTATTCCTCATTCACTGAAATATCATCTTGTTTCTTGAAAAACTTACTAAGAGATCCAGCCTGAGACTTTATTAATGCTTCTTCCTTTTCCTTGTTTCTTCTTTTTTGAGACCCATAGAGATACTTTCTATTTCTGTTAGTAGGCTTACTATTTCTAATAGGAGGCATGATAACCAACTCTTTTTCAATTAGGAAATCACAACCCCACAATCAACAATCAACTCAATATTTTGTAAACAACAAATCGACAAAGAAACAAACTAAAATTCAAATTTTACCCACTACCCAACACAACAGTTTGATAAAAATGACACAACACAAAATGAGGCGCATAAAAAATATGGTAAAATTCAACATCAAAACTTTGAATTATCTTGAACCAAAACTAGTTAGGAAGTAAAAGTAACCAACCTTGTTAAGTGCACCCATAATCCATGTATCTTCTTGAAGGGATTTAACCACTTTATTAAGTGCATCCACAAGTTCGAATTTTATAACTGCAATATAGACACTTGACAAGCAAATTCTTTGATTTCGCATAAAAAATACACATTAAAATAAACAAATCATAAACCCTAGAATCGAAAATAACTACAATTTTTCAACTTCTATTTTAGTAGATATTTTAGAATTTCACATGGTATGTTTTCATGCAAGTATACAAATTGGAAATGTGTGAATGTCCTTGTAAATTTAGTATCAGCACAATATTCGGGACGTTATCTTCCTAAGCATGTCTGACACAGGTACGCCACAATTGATCCATGAAAGAAAATGGCACTTTCATATAGATTTAGGGATTATACAATGGCAGTAACTAACGGTAGGTAACATATGGAGGCCTTTCCTATACATCACACCGTGACCTCAAATGATTTTACCGAAGCAATACAAGCTGTTCGCAATTTTTAGACCAATCTCTTTCATTAATAAATATTCCAAATGTTAGTATTCCATGGCTAGAGTTGGATAACAATTTATAAAATCACCAACTGCCATATTCTCATGATTCCATGAAAGCCATTTGCAGAACTTATAAGAAGATGAAAACAAATAACTTACAATACAGTAATGACAGCATAACCAGCAATGGATTCCAGACCACCCTTCCCAAACTTCACTCTCTTGGTTACTCTTCAGCAACTCATTTTTCACCTCCAAAATCACTTCCATTGTAAAAAAAAAATTGCCAGTGATTAGAACACCCAGTTAATTACAACAAACACCCAATTGGAAGCTACAAAATCCAGTGAAAAAAACCCAACTTACCATCACTTTTATTAGTCTCTGAACGCCACGGAAGCACCTTCAAGATCTCATAAGCATTGCAAATGGGTCCATCGCAAACTTGCTCAATGCTCAGTTTGCTCTGTGCGTTAAATTCCCAAAAAAAAAGGTGAAATGTTGCTGAAGTTTCCGTTTCACCCCAACCAAGACATTTTGCAGCCAAGTTTCAACTTTCAAGACAACTATATAATTTTATATTTAAATATTTTATTAAATTCAAACTCTAAAAATATATTTATATATATTATATATATACACACATATTTAAAAAGATATATTTTGGGCCCCCCTCCCCACCCAAAACACACGGCTAGTTCCATTTTTTTTTTATAATTTCATATTTAGATATTTTACTCAAACTACAAAATTATATATATATATATATATATATATATATATAAAGTTATGATTGGCACTCTAAAATTCTCATTCTACATTTCAAACTTTCTATATTTGGAAAGAAAAATACACTTGTGAAGAGTGTATGATGAGATTTTTGGAGTGTTAATAACACTTCCCTATATAAAAAATAAAATTAAAAAATTTGGGGGCCCTAGGTGGCCGCCTACTCGGGCTACCCTCAGGGCCGGCCCTGCATTCTTTCATCTCATTTTCAGGAGGATCATCAACTTCTTCAACATTTATGTCTACGGTTGCTCCATCCACTCCTTCCCTGACCTAACCAACATCTTCATCATTCATAAATACAGTTTCATCCAATTGTTGGGGTGCATAGAGCTCTACTTGAGGCATAATTGTTGGGGGTGTGGGAAGAATCCTTTGAACGCATACCGAATAGATCTCTTACAGTCATATTAACAACAACATGCCAATCTGAATCAATTGGATCCTATATATAACAAACTTGCTTTGCATCTCGTGCTAAAATGAAAGGCTTGTCCCCTACAACATTATCTTTGTATAATAGATGATTAAAATTCACTAATGTGAATCTAAACTCATCTTCTTTCATTCCACCAACTGTATCAACCCAATCACACTTGAACAAAACAAATTTCAAGGCATTGGTATATCGGATTTCAACCACATCTTTCAACACTCCATAATAGGTGACATCACCTAAGCAAGGCCTTTTGTCCTTAACAGTAACATAGCTCATAATGTCTGCTTTCAATACAACACCAGAATTTTGAGTGGTTCTACATTTTTTTCGCTTTCTTTGGTACGAAATTTGGAGCCAGTAATGACATAACCTTTATATCTTCGTGCAAATTGGTCAGGACCATTAGCCAAACTAATGATGTCTTTAGAAAATACTTCATTATTAGTTAGCCCCTGTGTATCAACTTATATAATATGAGATTTGTTCAGAAAGAAGTGAATTAAGAAGCATTCAAAGTAATAAATATAATTGTGCTTTCACTTACTTTCAAAATGGTGTAATAGCATCTGTGTTGACTAGCACGTGCCTATGTACTTATGTCCATGTAACTTCATTTAGACGTATTTTCACTCCTTTGTTAAGAGGACGACCATAGTCACTACCACCATCATCATTACGAGTTGGACGAGTAAGCTTTGTTTCTACTTCATTCAAATATCGGGTGTAAAAAGTCATGCATTCTTCCATTAAGCGACCATTGGCAATTGAAGCCTCAGGATGCGCACGATTACGCACATAACACTTAAGTGTTAATAAGTACCTGTGTGTAATATAATTAAAATATAATCTAATGAAAATAGTTAATATAATAAAAATTACAACTACAACTTTACTAACCTCTCTATAGGATACATCTATCTAAATTGGACAGCCCCAGCAACCAATGCTTCCTCAACTAGATGGATAAGCATATATTTCATTACGTCAAAGAAAGACATTGGAAAAATCTTCTCAAAATGGCAAAGTGTATGCACAATTCGCTCTTGAATATGTTCCTATTTAGACTACACGTTCACTTTCGAGCAAAGTTGTCTGAAGAAATTAGTGAACTCAATCAATGCTTCAACAACATTCTTAGTCAAAGCTCTGTGTGCTGCTATAGGAAGTAATTGTTGCATTAATATATTATGATCATGACTCTTAAGACCCCAAATACTCCGCTCCTTCATGTGTACATGCCGAGAAATATTAGAAGCATAACCATTTGGAACCTTTACTTGCATAAAGACTTTTAAGAACACATCTTTATTGTCTTTAGTCATAGTAAAATAAGCAGGAGCTAAGTATGCCTTATTAGAACCTCGTTGCTGAGGGTGCAATGGTTTCCTAATGCCCATTTCTTCTAAGTTACGTCGAGCCTTTAAATTGTCCTTGGTTTTTTTAGCAACACCCAATATTGTCCAAAGGATATTTTCACAACAATTCTTCTCAATGTGCATGACATCGAGATTGTGACGAATCAAATTATGCTCCCAATACGGTAACTCAAAAAATATGATTTTTTTTCTTCGAAAATGATTGACCATTATTACTCCCATCTTCAGCTCTTTTCCTCTTTCTAAAGTCTTCTTTCTTATACTCTGTAAGTACTCCTCGCAACTGTCTTTTCACATCAATACTTGAAATTTTTTGTGAAGCACGTCCCCATTCTCGTGTGCCATCAAAAGACACTTTATCTCTTTTTAATTTATGACTTGTAGGTAAAAATCAACGGTGACATGTGTAACAATACTTTCTTCCATAAGTTAACCAACGAGACCGAGTGTTCGTATTGCAACAAGGACATGTTTTTTCACCTCTAGTGCTCCATCCTGATAAGTTCCCATATGCAGGATTGATAGTCCAAAGTAATGTAGCATGTAGTTTAAACATTTGATTCGTCGAGGCATCATAAGTACACCTTCTTGCCATAATTCCTTTAACTTGTCAATCAATGGTTGTAAATATACATCAATCTTATTACCAGGTCCGTGCGGGCCATCTATCAGAACAAACAAGATATAGAATGGTTGCTTCATGCACATCCAAGGTGGCAAATTATATGGCATTAGAATAACAGGCCATGTACTGCGAGGTTTGAACATTGTTCTAAATGGGCTAAAACCATCTGATGCTAGACCAAGTCTGACATTATGAATTCCATTAGCAAAATCTGGATACT